CAACCTACATTCTGCTCTGATTAATGAATCTCTACGTGCAATCAAGACTTTGTCTGAAACCATACATCAGGATATTGTGTACACATGAGTGGTGAGAGATTTGATGCAGGACCTGCTCAGGGAAGTAAGTTCCACGCTGGACAGCTTGGTTGAAAGTCGTATTTCCCCGTACTTGGTACCACTGGACCTGCTCAAAGATAGCTTGACAGCTGCTACCCCTCTACTGTGCACCTTTCACAAATCCACCTAGCGTACAGCCTAGGCAGTGCAATTCCCATTCACGTTGAAAAAAAAATTAGAACTCGGTTTCCTGTTAAACGTTCCCATAATTGTGACACCTCACATCTATAGGTTTAGGTCGATGCTGAACATTGGTATTTGAAAGGACGGTAGGCATTTCCACTTTGAACTAGAAACCTGACACTCCATCACCTCAACCTCGAACAGCATGATTCGGAGATTGAGATCATGGACGCTTTCCGGGGTTGTAACTTTGCCTTCGATTTAGAAATTGACCAACAATTACTGATTGAAGGAACCAAATTTGCTAAGTTCACACAAAACCCGCGTGAACTTACTTTGACGCCCAAGACGCTACATTGACACAGATTATACGACCTTAATCTGCACATTGGTCGCCCTGGGGATGGGATGGCTCATCACGGCCGTGATAGCTTATTCCGCCTACAGGCGTGTTAATAAACTCCAAGATAAGATGCACTTGCTCACCTATGGTGTGCCTCGTGACCGTGTTCGGGGAGACTCCAAGCGCGAATGTACCACACCTGTCTAAAGGGGGTGAGCAACATTTTCTTTGTTATTCTGTAAACCTAAGAGTAGTTCTCATTTTAGTCTACCTCACATTTTTATCTGAGTGTTGCATTATGTCACATTCTTTATAAGCTACACACTGAATGTATGACCTAAGAATGTATTTAATGAGACCTCAAGGTTGCTATGAATTTTCTTGGATGTTATATGTTACATGTTTTTTTTTTGGGTTTTCTGTATTTTTGTTTCTTACTTGGTCACATATTGACTAGTGGTTATGTGCCGGCCCAGCTCAGTCTGTCAATGACTCTGTCTGACGCACCAGCACATTGTAGTACCTCTTAGTTTTATGGTCCTTGTTTTAGCCCAAAGACTGTCCTGATCCACCCTTTGGACCAAAAAGGGGGGAATCTTGGGACCACATAGGTCAATGCGCGTTTGCGAACTATGGACCTCGTACATCACCGCGTGCTCCATAAAACTGAACTGTATGGCCGGCGGTGAGATGCCTTTGTGTTCCCTCGTGGAGTTAACCGCCCACCGACCTTCCTCCTTCTACACTACTACCTCTCGCATGGACGACATCATCATTGCGTACCACCTGCGTGAGTGGCTTCTTCTCGTTATGCGCGTTGGGGACTATCCCGTTTCCTATCCTCTTTGTGCCTGACAAAGACAAAGACCAAAGGCGCCAGGATCCAAGACAAAGACCAAAAGACAAAGGCGTCCAAGGAGACCAACGTCCTTAGGGACAAACCCACCTGTGCTTCCGACAATCAAGTCGACCTACGTTCATGAGGAACAAACCCATCTGTGCTTCCGACGATCGAGCTTTGGGCGCGATCCCCGAAACCAAAAGGGGGAATGTTGAGGGTCTGACCTCATGAGGAAATTACTATGCAGTGATTTTCTCCAAAATGACTGTGCTTAAATTGCTCTGAAAAGCAAATAATCACATCAGCGCCAAGAAACTTCATTTCCCATGATGCTTTGCACACGGAAGCATTGGGTGATGTTACCGCCTAGTACCAGAAACACGTTCTGCGCATGTGCGGGAAGCCGTGGAGCTTTCCCGCAAACTAAGACCATAAATCTTCAGCAGAGACAAAGAATCCTCGTTCTTTTGCCCAGGATACCTGGCGGTGAGGACACGCTTGTCGAACGCTCCGACTTCTTTGAGCACGCGGAAGCTCTAAGAGCCAAGTTGAGCCCACGGGACCGCTGATCTGCTCGTTTCTGCTCCCCTCCAGCTGATGTTTGAGGACACAGAACCAGCGGAGGGAAACAACAACTCCATCCAGCTCTCAGAAACGCTGTAAGTTGTCAAACTCAGCCCAAAAGGAACTTCGTTTTCTTTGTGTCCAGCCGTGGAGAAACACTCGTGGAGCCAAACAACGGAGAAAGCATCAAACCGGCGGATGACGCTGAAAACTGCGGAGAAACACGGAGAACCGTCAAATCAAAAGGGGGAGGGACGCCTCGCTCTTTTGGTGATCAGAAAACTCATTTTTCTCTCATTCTTTTCTTCTCCCGTTTCCTCTATAGTCCAGAATAAGCAATAAAACCGCGCTATTGCTTAAAAAAAGTAGCTTCGTGTTTTCCTCTTTCGTTCCAAATTCGTCCTTCGGGTCATTTTGAAAGAATAAACTGCTTATTAATCATTGTTTGGTATCTTTAAATGTTCGGCCATGGCCAGGCTGATAAACTAAGGATATTAACTCGTGATTAATCTTTTGTGTTGTTGCATGATCCTTTGAAATGTTTTGAGTGATTTAAGGTTAAGTTACTACTGATTCTAAGTGCTTTGGAAGTTAAAGTGCAAGTTGCCACCCACACTTTAGCCAGACAAAGGAGTCAGCCATCTTGTATTCAAGACTCCATTTTGAATCCATACACACGCACACACACTACTCCTTTGTGAGAACAAAGGACCCCATTCCTACATCCTACATACACACAAAACACCTTGAACATTATTTTGAATATACATCCTTTTATTATATCACATGGTTATTATTCATTTATGCCACTGTTTATTCATTTGACAAATTGTTAATTAAACGTTATAAAATTCAGATTTTCGTCTCCAGTAGCTTTGTTGTGTCGAAGAGAAGTCTCTGCTCCAAGGATTCTACGAACTTCAAGAAAGACTGATAAGAGTTTTGGATTCAATTTTTCCCCGGAAAAAGGGGAATGGTGCCCCGTATATCTAAGAATATCTTAATTAATTAATAAATCAGTAAATATTCCCATATTTACAGAATTTATTGAAGAATCCAAAAGTAAGTTGAAGCTTACTAATTGTTCGCTCCTAATAACCCCAACACAGTGATCTTGAGGGGGCGTGTTTCTGCAGTAGTGATGATAAAATGGCGCAGTCCCTGCGAGTGACTTGAATGGAAGTACCAGAATCTTGACCTCAATGTAATGTTTTACAGTAAGCTTCTGCGGTGCATGTAATACTGGAGTGATGCTCTCCCATTTTTTCACTTCAGTAATGAACCTTGCTGCAGTGTTCTGAACCATCTGCAGCTTTGACAGTGTGGAAGTGGTCAGACCAACATACAAAGAGTTGCAGTAGTCGAGTCTGGAAAGCACAAATGCAGATGTTACAATCTCAAGGTTCTTTCTGGATAGCATAGGCTTAATCCTTGCAAGATGCCGGAGCTGAAAAAAGCAGGATCTCATTACGGAGTTCACCTGTGCATCAAAGGTCAGTACAGAGTCTAATCTCACACCAAGATCAGTAACCACTTTGCGTTCAAATGGTGCTAATGATAAGAGGTCTATGCTACATGGCTGATGGCCATTAGGTGAAAAACAATGACTTCAGTCTTGCTCTCATTACAACTTAAGAAGTTGGTCGACAACCATGAACGCACATCTTCCTCGCATTCCACCTGAGAACTTAATGGAGCCAGACAACCCCTCTTTTACTGGCAGATAAATCTGGCAGTCGTCGGCATACAAATGGAAGTCAATACCGCACCTGCGGAAGATCATGCCAAGTGAGAGCAGATAGATTGAAAAGAGCAGGAGACCCATAACAGATCCCTGAGGGAACCCCCATTTCAGCTCTTTCTGAGACGACGAGTGATTACCTGTAGAAACACTCATAGTTCTACCAGTCAGGTAGGACTTCATCCAACTCGGAGCTGCTCCTGAAATCCCCACCCACTGCTCTAGGCGTTCCAGTAGGAACTGATGATCCACAGTATCAAATGCTGCAGTCAAGTCAATAAGCAGCAGCACCACTGCCTTCCCAGCGTCAGTTGCCAGGAACACATCGTTGAGCACCTTTAAGAGAGCCATTTCAGTGCTGTGCCCAGCTCTGAATCCAGACTGGTGTGGTTCTAGGATCTCGTAGGTGGCCAAAAACAGAGAGAGCTCATCATAAACTATCTTCTGTCCTTGGGGAGGGCTCTGTTAGAGGCCGTGCATGCCACTGGGTGGTTTTAAAGGCCTGTGGCCAATAATCAGTAAAGAAAAGAGGAAGACATAAAAAGTTCATTTTAATAGCACCTTTTAAATGTACAATTATTTAAATAAAAATAAAAATGAAAGAAAAGGTTGTTTTCTATCTACTATTTCTTGTGAAAAGACCTATATTTCCGTATGATTGTATTGACATAGGACATCTGAAAAAACATGGAAAACTTATATTTAAATTTTTCAAAAACCTGAGCCCAGTCTTAGTTCTGCAATGACTCGCTGACATTTACACTCTTAGATTATTTCAGCTGCTTCTGATAAGCTTCACCTTTCAGCGCAGAGAGGTCAGACTTGTATGCTCTAGCAATAACCACCACTTAAGTGCCTTTCATTGGAAGTGAAGCATTGCGATCTGGGGGACACAATTATGAAGCAACCTGATGAGATGTCGCTCGAGCATTTCTCCTTAATTACCTGCTGTTGTGAAGTTTCTTAATGTCTTTCAGAAAACTGCTTGGATTTCATTACAGCATTGATTTGCAGCATTGAAACCCAGACAGAAACAAACATGTAATCAGCTCCTTTAGATCGGAACAAAAGAGAAAGAATAACTCTCTCTGGCTACCACTTGCTTCAGGAAGCTCATTATAGGAAACGTGGGGACACAAATTTAATGTCAAGAGTGCGGGGTGCTCTGTGTTCTTTCACATATGCAGCAAAGTTAATTATAAATCACAAAAAGGGAAGAAAAGTTGGGTGTGATTCTACAAAAACGCACAGATTAGAAAAGTGGTCACCTGGCCACATGGTTGATGACAGGGGAGAAGTTGGTAGGTCCGTAGAGTTGAACAGACTTCAGACTCTGGTAGTAGGCTTCCATTACTCCGTCGATACCTGTACAGTACGGGTTTTGAGGGTTTCCGTTCTGGAGGGAAAAAGAGAGGAGGTAAAGGATTAACAAAGCATAATTCAGGAGCCTTCAGATTGGACTGAGAAAATGGAAGACTGCAAAATCTTGATGCTGTTTTACTATAAATTATCTTTAATAATAATAATAATAATAATAATAATAATAATAATAATAATAATAATAATAATAGCCTTTATTGTCATTGTACAGGATACAACGAAATTGGAGTGCCACTCCCTTGGTGCACAATACAATAATACCTCTAAATATAAAGGTCCCCTAAAACAAAACAATAGTAATTAACAAAACAATAGTAAGTAACAAAATAATAGTAAGTAATATATGCCGACTAACACACTATTTACAGAATAGCAGCTACCATATCATGTAAAAAAATTGCATTAGAATAGCAGCATAGTAGTTGACGGTGACCTTGACAGTCGCTAAGCAGTTTTAATTGTTTTTATGCTTATTCACTATAGAGATCGCCCTGGGAAAGAAGCTATCCCTGAATCTGTTTGACCTGGTTTTATGTGACCTGTACCGTCGACCTGATGGTAATAGTTGAAAGACGTGACTGCTGGGGTGAGATTGGTCCTTGATGATATTGCTCGCTCTGTTGAGGTACCGAGAGTTTGCAATGACCTCCAGGCTGGACAGAGAGCATCCAGTGATCTTCTGGGCTGTGTTGATGACCCTCTGCAGTACTTTCCTGTCTGCAGCTGAGCACCCTGCGTACCATACTGTTATGCAGTACGTTATGATGCTTTCTATGGTGGCTCTGTAAAAAGCAACCAGCAGCCTCTCCTCCAGGTTGGTCCTCCTGAGCACTCTCAGAAAGTGGAGACGCTGCTGGGCCTTTTTTACCACTGCTGTGGTATTTGCTGTCCAGGAGAGATCCTCAGAGATCTGCATGCCCAGAAACCTCATGGAGTGCACCCTCTCCACACAGTTTCCATGAATTTACTGTATCTTTTTGAATTATGTAAAGGTAGCCTCAAATCTACACCAACCATAACAGTAACAAAAGATTCTGCTCTGCGGGTCGGTCTAGCCTTGCTCTATTGTAGCCTCAGCAGGTCTACCCAGGGGCGGGGCTTCAGGGGAGGCAGAGGGCCCTCGGCCTGGGCTTGGAAGGGGCCCGCTGCTGGGAGAGACCTGCCGCTGCAATGAGGCTGATGAGAAGGAGTGGCGCCTCCGACACTACGACACTAGCCAAGTATGCAGGAAAAGACAAACACTTCCACAACTTGAGTTCAGAGGAGAATGATTTCCATTCTTAATAACTGCTCCCATGCAGATTTATTTAGGGTTCTTATAGGTTGTCCCAGTCAAGATTGAGTGGTTGCTAAAACTTTACAAGACCCACTGACTTTAGTGATGTAGTAGCTGTAAAATTTGGAATAAAATGTTGTGCTGCATGATTGGCTTCATTTTTAATCTCACATGTAACTTTATGACCTGAAAATTTACAAGTTAATCTCCAATCTCTGAAATAGTCTCCAAGTGCATTGTTGGTAAAACTTGTCATAGCTGTCCACCAACATCATCATCACTTGTCAACTAGATGGATGGCTAAGGGATTTGGTCTCAAGGATTATTATAGTTCCATTTTCAATATGGACTTTTTCAGAGAAGCTGATTATCATTACAGAAGGCCGCTTGTTTGAGCCAGAGGCGACTCTCAGCCTTGGCCTTCATGCCATAGAAAATGACTTACTGATAGAACTAAACAGCTCTAAGACAAAGTTATTGAAGTCTTCCTGCGCAGAGATAAGGATGGTTTTCATGTATAAATAATCAGCAACTTTGGTGAGTGTTATTTGATCATGAACTGCAGCTGGTAGTGGCGCAGTTGCAGCTGTAATGTAGGGTTGAAACGGTCTTAAGGGGGTTTTGTTTTGTCACAATGGAATTTCCTCTCAATACACAAAATGCCCTTCATAATATTTAGTTATCGACTAATTTATTGAGCAAACATCCATGCGCAATCTCTAAATTACACAGCGTCTCGCGAACCCCTCCCGGTGTGCTCGATGAACAATCACCTACCTACTGGATGATGATAAATGTACATAAAAAATGTTAATGAAACCTCGCGAAGAAAGTATTTCAACAGTCTTCTCTTTTTCATATGGATGAAAGACTATTAGGGAGTCCACATTCACAGAATTATCCTCTCCTCTGTCTCGTGACCTGCAGCAGTTGGGATGTTTGTGACCACAAAGTTTGTTTTTTTTCCCCAAAAGGCCCACTTTCAAATGAAACACACTCCTCTTGTTTTGACATTATATTTCTTGTGCTTGCTTGTATTTCTGTTTGGGTGCCTCTATGCAACTCCGTGGACCTGCCTGCTAGTCCGAAATAAGCATGGTGTCGGATAACTCGTCTCTTCTGTCCTCGCCTGTGCTTGGACTGAAGTCAACATATGTGCCTCATGACAGTGATGCGCCTTGTGCGAAAAAAGTGGCCCCTCATGGAGCGTGAGTCCAGCTTATCAGGAGGGGCAGCGCTGGGTGGACTGTGGATGGCTGATGTCTGAGGACGGACAGATATATAAAAAATCTCTGAGATTTCGACTAATATATGACTGAAAAAACTTAAAATAAGAAGTAGCCATACCGGTCCAGTTAAAGTAGTGGGTGGGAAGCAGGACATTTCCTACAGCCTGGGGATCTCAAACAGATGGGGTGGGGGAAAGGCCAACACCAGCTGTTCTTCTCCGGAATTCACAGCTGGCCAGTCCGCCACTGTTTTAACATCATATTAGGTCAGTAAACGCACTGAAGGCTCAGCTACCAAATACACAGGCCACTACTGCTACAGGGTATATACAGCAATCCTTAAGTAAAATTTAGTACTTTTTAATACTTTTTTTTACTACCTTCAGAATTTTTTTAAAACCATCACAACACTAAATTGCAAGTGTTAATCAGCGACCTATTTACACATATTTTAACATATATAACATACAAAAAGAATAGACTTAGAGACTCACTGATGTTGACAACGTATTGCACATATTTATTTTACTTAGAAAATAAGCCAGGCACTTCTTTTCAGCGGTTCAGACAGTTGACCACGAGGCCTGTAATGATGCACAACGACCACTGAATATGACGTCATCATTATGTGACCGGATATGCTAAAGTAGGGCTGCTCGAATATGGCAAAAACAATAATCACGATTATTGTGACTGAAATTGAGTTCTCGATTATTTAAGACGATTTTTCAATTTATGTAGATTTTTATTTTTTTATTTTTATTCAGTCATAAAACTGCTCAGGGCACAATCAGGGCAAAAATAAACAAGAAACAAGATGATCACTAAAATAACTCCTGATTCCCAGTATAAAAAGACCAATATACTTATAGCTCATAGTTTATGACCCAGGGGCTATAGACCTTGGTTTAACTCATTTAAGTCTAACCAGTACAGACCCAAATACCAATATCTTGCAAATACTGACAGCAAGAATTATACTGTGGCATTTATAACAAATACATGCAAATTGCTGTTCACTAAATGTTGCATAACATTTATTGAGTCGTGTCAAGGTGCTGTAGGAGAGTGCACTAGCACCATGTCCTCAGAGAGATTAGTTATTATTTATCAGCGTGAGGAACTTATTTCTACCTTATTTATAAACTATTTATTTACAAGTCCATCAGTTAATGTAATAATTGTCCCAACCACAGCTGCACCCCCCACCCCCAACCCGGTCTCACAGCAATCAGGGGCAGCTGCACGTGTGTTTAGCACGCCGCACGCGCACATTTAGCCGTTTTTATCGGCTCAGGAGTCCGCAGGTACGGTGTGTGTCACTCACTCTGGTTAATCCAACAGGGAGCCGGCCCTGAGAGCTGTCTTTAGCGACCGACACATCACTGCATCATTCCCTTTCCTAATGTCCTGAAGAACGGTCCGGAGCGCAGGCGGAGTGTTTAGCTAACCTGCAGGAAATGTCGACGACAGTTATCCAGAAAGTAGCTAAGGGTTACCAGAGATGTTTCTGAGGTGTTCGCTAGGTACTTTTAAGATTTAAAAAGTCAAGAAGGGGGTCTGAGAAGCTGTTAGAAATAGCGTCAAAGTCGCCAAGTTCACTTGGCAACACTGGGAGGAGCGTTTCATTTGCAACTCAAGGCAGCGCAAGTGGGAGGAGCAAATAATCGGCTTGTTTTGTTTTTATAATCGTTCAAAACATTTCATTCGGAATATATTTCTATGTCGATGTTCAGAATACGACATCTGATAGTCTGAAAAAAATAATACCTAATTTGGAAAAAATAATACCTCTGAGACCAAATTTAACACTTTTAATGGCCTTAAATTTGACTATTTTTATTTATCACTTTTTAATACTTTTTAAAACCCCGCGGACACCCTGTGCTAAAATGACCTTTATTGTTTGGGTTTAAAGGGCCCAGTCAGTTGCTCCTCTCCCGGCCCAGCTGTGACTTGTTTCACTAGTGGTTCTACCAATGGCCTGATCAGTTTTGTGTCTTGCCAATCACAGTGAAGTATGTTTGCTGGGTGAGCCCAATGCCAGAGCTGTGGCAGAGAAAACCTATGAAGATGTCGTCAGCTAGGAACGTCGCTCATTTGAAATGGCGTTGGCATCAACTTTGGACCATTTAGATTCGGGCTTTTCTTTGAGACATACGCTGATGGAGTTACTTAGGTACTTTACTTCTATAAAGGATGTGTTTGCTTCTTCTTGGCTTATTTCTGTAGTGAGGAATATGTCACGTTGTTCATTGCTTTGATTGGTCCTAGCATCCTAGATCCAATTATGTGGAGAGAGTTTAATACACAACCGTAGATTTGGGTGGTTTCAATGGCTTATGGCCCAACTATACGTTTATATTTTTAGAATGGTTTTCCAGGCAGGATATAAAGTAGCTATAATCTCCCATCTATCGTGTCCATTCATCAGATTTTTTATGACCCAAAAAAATTTTTTAAAAATAAACATAATTTTGAGTATAGGCCACAGTGAAGTTTGGTAGGAATCTTGAAATTTATCGTGAGTAACTTATTTTTTTTCCATGGCTACATGACATAATACCTCCTCTGACAATGGCACAGATGCTGGTCTTTCTTACACCCACAGGACTGGATGTAAACACCTTTGAGCCTTTTGCTAATGTTGACATGAAAATGCCAAAGAATCCAAAGTTCATCGCCATGGGAAATGGTAAATCTCCTGTATTTGTATCACAATCACACACAAACAGTCATTCACCCATTCACACACACACACACACACACACACACACACACACACACACACACACACACACACACACACACACACACACACACACACACACACACACACACACACACACACACACACACACACACACACACACACACACACACGCTGGTGGGGATGAGTTATGCCCTGGGGCACACTTACAGAGGCGACTTCTGCCATACACTGGCACCACCGGTCTCTCCAATCACCACCAGCAGTCAAGGTGGGTTAAGTGTCTTGTCCAAGGACACCACAGCAGCATTCTGTGGTCTGAGCTGGGATCAAACCTGCAACCTTCCAATTACTGAACAACCATCTCTACCTCCTGAGCTACTCCTGTCTCTTGCCATGGCAACACATTAATCTTAGACCAGCTTGTTAATTGTAGTCAACATATCCATTCATCTATTTTTGTCTACTTATCCGGGGTCAGGTCACGGGGGCAGTAGCCTAAAGCTTGGTTAATGCTTGACGCGTCCGCGAGGTTCGCACGGCTCTGCACGGCAAAATTGCATCATTTTAACAACCATGCTCCTCCAATGCGCCTCCGCACGGCCCAAGCTTTCCGCACCACGCACCTGGGAAATTTTCTAACCACGCGGACGGTCGGACGCGGAAAAACATGACGGACTGGCAAGAACTAGTATGACAGAGGTTCCTAAATACAGACATTTGTATGATTCAGCTCTCAAAGATCACCGTGATCAACATGTTGTTAATAATTCTTGGAGAGAAATAGCTCGCACTGTCGGAAAAGACGAGGACGCTGTTAAAAAATGCTGGAATGCCATGTTGTAAAAAACAGTAATTTTTACTTCTACTATGGTTTAGTGTTGGATGCATGCCATTGAGCTCCATGCAGCCCCGTTCAGTTTGGGAGAATATTGGCTCACCGCAGAGACAAGCCCCATGAACCATAAACGCTGCAAGTTGTGAAGCATGTTCCATCCGCGAGCCGCATCACCAAGCAGAAAGTAAATGCATCAAGCATAAACCAAGCTTAAGCAGAGAGGCCCAGCTCCTCCGGGGAAACCCCAAGGCTCTCCCAGGCCAGCCGTAAGACATAGTCCCTCCAGCGTGTCCATGGTCTTCCTTTAAGTCTCCTCCCAGAAAACCTCACCAGGGTGTCGTTTAGGAGGCATCCTAACCAAATGCGTAAGCCACTTCAATTGGTTCCTCTCGATGTATAGGAGCAGTGGATCTACTCTGAGCCCCTAGCAAATGACAGAGCCTGTCACCCTAGCTCTAAGGGGCAGCCCAGACACCCAGTGGAGAAAACTCATTTTGGAAGCTTGCATCCGCAATTTCATTCTTTGAGTCACTCCCCAAAGCTCGTGACAATAGGTGAGGGTAGGAACATACATTGACCGGTGAATCAAGAGCTTTGCCTTCCGGCTCAACTCTCTTCACGACAGACCGATACAGCCCCCACATCACTGCAGACATAGCACCAATCTGCCCATCAATCTCATGCTCCATCGTTCCCTCACTCATGAACTTCCATTTGAGGCAGGACCTTGTCCCTGACCTGGAAAAAGCAATCTATCCTTTTCTGACTCAAGACCATGGTCTCAGATTTAGAGCCGATTCTCATCCCAGCCTCTCAGCTGTGAACTGCTCCAGTGAAAGCCAGAGAGATCACGTTCTGATGAAGCCAACAGGACCACGCACGTCATCTGCAAAAAGCAGAGAGCCAATCCTCAGGCCACCAAAACAGCTTGGTTGCACCTAGAAATCATATCCATAGAAGTTATGAACAGAATCCGTGACAAAGGGCAGCTTTGCCGGAGTCCAACTCTCACTGGAAATGAGCCCGACTTACTAGTCAACATATACTTCACTGAATAATACCAATGCATTCTTAATATACAGTGGCAGATATAGACATTTTATGAGGAGCGGGCAAAGGACACAAAAAAGGTCTAGGCAGGGTGGAAATGCTTAACCTCCTTGATGTAGTATCTGAAAAACCCCTAAAAGAAACTGGAGTTGACAAAGTACAATTATTTTTTGTGTCATTGTTTCTTCTAAGAATACAAAACAAAGAAAACCTTTAATTAGAAATGAGAAAAACAAATATTCCTGAAAATAAACATAAACGAACAAATACTGAAGACAGATTTAAAGCAAACTACAGCTCTACTCCTGCTAATATAATATATGGGTTATTGTTTTGATCTGGATTTATCTGTCACAGAATGTTTTCTGAAGTACAAGAAAAAACAGCCAAACGAAAACTTGTGAAATTACTATTTTAATTTGTTTCAACTACAACCATTCACAATCGTTATTAAGAAATTTCCAGTTCAAATATGTTAAAAAACTTTAAAGTGGAATTGAGTCAAATTTAAAGCCAAGGGGACAAAATATTAACTAAACAACACCTATTAAATCTAACTGAACTGGCGGATATTGAACTTCCTTTGAAAAAAAGAACTGCTTCATACAGTCAGATCTCCTGGTAAACTCTACCAGGGGTGTGCCATATAAAAACAAAAGGACTTAATGACCCCTGAGGGCTTAATTATAAGGCCTGGCTCTAAAGAGGAGTCTGAAGATTCAGAAGGCACAAGAAAATCAGAAAAAACAAAATGACCAATAGCATCTGGTGTTTTAGAAACCAACTAAAAAGGGTGTGTGTTTGAGAGAGAGAGAGAGAGAGAGAGAGAGAGAGAGAGAGAGAGAGAGAGAGACAGAGAGAGACAGAGAGAGACAGAGAGAGACAGAGAGAGAGAGAGAGAGAGAGAGAGAGAGAGAGAGAGAGAGAGAGAGACAGAGAGACAGAGAGAGAGAGAGAGAGAGAGAGAGAGAGAGAGAGAGAGAGAGAGAGAGAGAGAGAGAGAGAGATCTATAATGTGTATTTTTGTTTTATCGACGCTTATGTTCAGTTCTAATGATGTAATCTAAAAGAAATCTGAAGATGAACCCTTACAGTCCCCATGAACTCATCTGCTGATGTGGACATGTCTCTGTCTCTTACCAGGGCAAACTCATGAGACACCCGTCCATCAGGTGGGAGTTTGGCTCCAAAACCCAGTGCTGGGAACATCTTGTCACTGTCGTAGTCCTGAATGATTTCTCCTACTGCCTTCAGCGCCATGGCGTAGGCGTTTAGCTGGTAGGGGCTCATGTAGTGGAGCGAGGTGGGCTGGGCTGGGTTTCCTGTTCCGTACACAGGAAGCAAATCAATAAGTCACTAAAATAAAACGCCACTCTCTTAAAATGAAGCTTATTTTAATCTCCTGTTTGTGGCTCGTGGCTCAATTCACTTTTAATGACTCGCAGCACTGTGGCTGATGGGGAGATTTCAGAGATAGACCAAAGATGGAGCACACTGCACACCTGAAGCTTGAACACAATTTTACATCCACTACTTGAAAGGTTTTACTCGATCTGGCACATTTTGGCCTAACTGATGTGTTGTGCGTGGCCCAAGCTCAAACCAAGATGGATAACGCGGCTCTTAATCACGACCGTTGGAGCATGTTAGTGCAGCAAGTTTCAGCTGCCAGGTGTGATGAAGAGGGCCATTAGGGAGCACTTGATTCCCCATTTACATATATTTGAATAAACTCTCCCAAGAGAGTGTGTGTGTGTGTCTTTTGACAGTGTTGATGTGTACATGAAGGCTCACCGTTGGACGCTGTGAAATCAATGGCCACTGTGAAGTTGATCTGGGTCCTTGGAAAACAAAAGGAGATATTTCATTATTTCATTGCCGGATAAAAAGGCAGAGCTGATCATTCAAAGAGTTAAAAAATCTCGGATCTTCACTAGATCACAGTACAAAATCAGCGTAAAGATAAATGACCATTAATGCTTCAGCAGTACCACTTCACACTAAAGCCGAATTTATACTTCTTCGTCAGCTCCACCAGGGAGAGACATGCACGCACGGACGGAGATAATTTGCCCTCATACATCTCAGTCTCCTGGGGAGTGTTGCAAAGCAATTCCCCGCCAGAACAACAGAGGGCGCAACGCTGTTCTGGTGTATCCTGTTATGTATCCGGTCCAAGATAGTATGTTTATATTGTGTTTTTCTGTATTCAAGAGACTTTTAAACATGGACAATTTGTCACTCATCCTCCTCCAACTCTTCATGCACTCGCCACCTCTGAACCCATGTTTCCCGTCATTTCCGTCCACAAATAAAATGCTTGCTGCGTATCTTTTCACTCTTCAAGTCACGGGGGAATAAAACTTTCATATTTTAGAGTTTTTCCACAAGGTATTCTTCAAGCTTCTCCGTGTCTGCCGGTAGATATCCTCTGCTCTCTTTATGGTTTTGAGGGCGCAATGGCGGCGCTGTGGACGACAGCAGCGTCCTGACCAATCACAAGCTTGCATTTTCCGTCTCGACGGATGGACGTTTAGAAAAGCTCGACTCCATCCGTCCTTGAGAGGGCTCTCCAGCAGGCTCGCAAGGATGGATAATGGCGTAGCGTGCTTCCGTCCTGACACAGATGGAGAAGTATAAATTAGGCTTAAGGCTCCCCTTATTAATGGATCATAGTTTCTTCATATGTTATTATTAACACTATAAATTAAGGAGTAAACAGGCACTCTGTATGTCATCCAATTGAACGCCAGTGATCAACTGCTATGGAGAAACAGCTGTGAGACAGAAGAGAAGGGCAGGAAAACCAGTCAAATATTTAATCGGTGCATAAAACACCAAACATTTCAACATCGGTGTCTTCGTCAGAGTTGCACACTTTATACACCATTAATAGGTACTTATTAAACATCAATAAATGGTGAGCCAAATCTGTTCACCTATTAATTTAATCCACAATTGCTTTACTAAATATTTCAGACTAAGCTGCCACCTTGTTAGCTCAATGAGAAATAGGAATTGTTTTAGATAATATTCTAAATGATCACTGCATTATAAATATCAACTATTATCAAAGCGAGTCCAGTGGTAAAAAGGTACCTTAGTTTTAGTTCATGTTAAAGGCTATTTTTAGAAATGCTATATAGCAGCTTGTGATATATACTGTTTATAATAAAGCTTGGTCCTATAGTTACAATTGTTTATTAAGCACAATAAATATTGTGAAGTATTTATTATAACATCTTTAGGTTAAATAAAGATGTGAACAAATTTGCGTCACTATTTGGAAAGAAAACTTCCAGTTTAGTCTCTTTCTTACCCTTAACACTAGAACTGCAATTTTTGCAATTTGTATGTATAACTAATTTATTGGATAAAAAGAAATACAGCCTTGCTAGTCTAATTAAAAATGGATTTCATGTTAATTGTGCAAAAGACAGACAAAATATAATCATTTTGTACCAAAATAGGTTGGTTGACCGTCTGGGTTTTTCCCGTTGGTTTCCCTGTGTAAAGCCTAATTTATACTTCTCCATCTGCGTCTGTACGGAAACACTCAACGTCATTATGCATCAGCACAAGAGCTCTCCGACAGGCTCGCAGAGGCATGCCCCAATTTTTAATTATCCGTCGAAAGAGACAGAGACTGCATGCTTGTGATTCGCCAGGACGCCGCTTCCGGTAAATTCATCATTGCCCCATCAAAAAGTAAAAAGATATTTAGCGGAACACACAAAACAGATTGAAGAATACATTGTGTAAAAAGTATGAAAATGAACATTTATTCAACCGTTACTGAAGGAGTACAAATATACGCAGCAAGCATTTTATTTGTGGACGGAAAAGACAAGAAACGTGGGTTGAGAGGTGCCGATCGCATGAAGAGGTAGATGGGGGACAAATTTGTGTTCAAAAGTCTCTGAAATACACTGAAAGAATGAAAACGCATTAGCAGATACACTATCGTGGACTGGATAGTTGACTGTAATGGTGGAAGGATACCTCAGAATAGCGCTACGCCCTCTGTTGTCCTGGCGGGGAATTGTTTAGCAACAATCCTCAGGTGACGGAGAAGTCTGAGAGCAAAACGTCTCTGTCAGTATGTGTGTGTCCCTCCCTCACAGAGCTGACTGAGAATTATTAATTAGGCCTCTGGTAAAAATAGAAGCAAAGAGCTTCTCCAAACTTTGCTCAGTCTTCCTCATAATTTTGTTATTTTTGCATTTTATAACTAAATTTTTATTTATTTATTAACATATGATTAAAGAGGAGTAGCCCCATGAGATGTGCCTTCTCGTTTTCATGAGGGTCGTCTTTAACAAGATAAAGAAAGCAAAGAAAAGCAACAGAAGGCAGCTAACACCATGTACAGTGAGGAACATAAGTATTTGAACACCTTGCAATTTTGCAAGTTCTCCCACTTAGAAGTCATGGAGGGGTCTGAAATTCACATTGTAGGTGCATTCCCACTGTGAGAGACAGAATGTAAAAAAAAATCAGGAAATCCCATTGTGTGATTTGTAAAGAATTTATTTGTTTTGCACTGCTGCACATAAGTATTTGAACGCCTGGCAATCAGCAAGAATTCTGGCTCTCAAAGACCTGTTACTCTGCCTTTAAGAGGTCCACCTCTACTCCACTTAGTAATCTTAATTAGTAGCACCTGTCTGACCTCTTTAAAGACACCTATCCACCCCACAGTCAGTCGGACTCCAATTTCTACCATGGGCAAGACCAAAGAGCTATCAAAAGAAATCAGAGACAAAATTGTAGACCTCCACAAGACTGGAAAGGGCTAAGGGGGAAATTGCCAAGCAGCTTAGTGAAAATAGATCAAATGTTGGAGCAATTGCCAGAAAATGGAAGAGGCTAAAGACAACTGTCAGTCTCCCTCGGACTGGGGCTCCATGCAAGATCTCATCTTGTGGGGCATCACTGATGATAAGAAAGGTGAGGAATCAGCCCAGAACTACACGAGAGGAGCTGGTCAATGACTTGAAGAGAGCTGGGACCAAAGTGTCAAAGGTCACTTTTGGTAGAACACTATGCCGTCATGGTTTCAAATCACGCATTGCACGAAAGTTTCCCCTGCTCAAGTCATCACACGTTCAGGCCCGCCTGCAGTTTGCCAATGACCATCTGGATGATCCAGAGGAGGCATGGGAGAAAGTCATGTGGTCAGATGAGACCAAAGTAGAACTTTTTGGTCTAAACTTCACTCGCCGTGTTTGGAAGAAAAAGAAGGAGGAGTTGCATCCAAAGAACACCTTCCCTACTGTGAAGCATGGGGGTGGAAACATCATGCTTTGGGGGTGCTTTTCTGCGAAGGAGACAGGACGACTGCACTGTATTAAGGAGAGGATGAATGGGGCCATGTATTGTGACATTTTGAGCAACAACCTCCTTCCCTCAGTGAGAGCATTGAAGATGAGTCATGGCTTAGTCTTCCAACATGACAATGACCCGAAGCACACAGCCAGGGTAACCAAGGAGTGGCTCTGTAAGAAGCATATCAAGGTTCTGGAGTGGCCTAGCCAGTCTCCAGACCTAAATCCAATCGAAAATCTTTGGAGGGAGCTGAAACTCCGTGTTGCTCAGCACCATCCCCAGAACCTGACAGATCTAGAAAAGATCTGTGTGGAGGAGTGGGCCAAAATCCCTGTTGCAGTATGTGCAAACCTGGTCAAGAACTACAGGAAAAATTTGATCTCTGTAATTGCAACCAAAGGCTTCTGTACCAAATATTAACCCTCTCAGGCTCAAAATAAGTTCTGATAAAAGGACGAACAACTAAGTCCTTCAGGGGTACTTCTGAGTTAAAAAATGCTCATGAAATACTTATGTGGAGTAACCAGGTAGGTAGGTTTTAACGTTGCAAATCTGCAACGCCTGTCTCCATAGGGTTAATACTGATTTTCTCAGGTGTTCAAATACTTATGTGCAGCAGTGCAAAACAAATAAATTCTTTACAAATCATACAATGTGATTTCCTGATTTTTTTTTCACATTCTGTCTCTCACAGTGGGAATGCACCTACAATGTGAATATCAGACCCCTCCATGGTTTCTAAGTGGGGGAACTTGCAAAATCGCAAGGTGTTCAAATACTTATGCTCCTCACTGTACATTAAATAAAAACAAGATATATTTCTTAAATAATAATGGCAATAACTAAAACATTTACAGAACACTAAACACACACACACATGGGCGTCGCACCCGTGGGGGATGTGGGGGTTTCAACACCCACACTTTTCCAGCCGTTTTGCTCACCTCCACACCAGTCTGGTTTCTCGCACTCACTGTTTGCCTCATCTCCTTCTTCCCCTCCCTCTTGTTTCTCCTTGAAACCCGACAGCCGATGTCGGGTTTCAAGGAGAAACAAGAGAGGGAGGGAGGGAAGAGCTCGACTGAATTCATAATTTTACATATTGACATTAGCTGTACAAACTCAGTTTGATAAAGTGAAGAACAACAATTTGCAGAGGTTTACAGGCACAGCGCCAGATTTTCATTTTTGGGTGGGTCACGGTAATTTTGGATGGGCAGGATAAGCAGTGACTTAAGTGAAGCAGGCAGGTCGAGCTAGAAAATTTCGTTTAAAAAGACGTCATACATTTTTTCCCCGGTCATTTTTATTTCTAAAATATGAAGTAAAAGCTCACAATTTAATCTTCATTCATATTTAGTCTACACCCGTGCGTTAAGTGGACCGGCACCATGCGTTACCTGCACTTCTAATATTTACCTCTCAACGTAGGACTCTTTCATAAGGGTACATGCACACCGGTAGTTTTTACGGTTATTCATGGGGCAAAATCTCCGACATTTTTGAAAAAAAA